CCAATGATCCCTTCCACCCCTCTCCTACCCCCTTCCCTAGACCTTCACATTATTGTCTGTGTCCATGGGTTATGCATATATTCATATAAATTCTTTGGTTAGTCTCTTCCCACTCTCCACCCTCACCCCCTTCCCTCTCCCCTCTGAAATACAATAGTCTGTAGCATGCTTCAATGTCTCTGGGTCTATTTTGTTTGTCAGTTTATTTTGTTCATCTGACCTTTTCTTTTACTTGTTTTTTTATATACATATTATGAATTCATTCCCCATACCCTCTGAAAGATGTATACACCTTCTCTCAATACCTTAAGCATATCAGACAATTCTTCTGTTCTACACTTTTCCCCCTTAAAGACACCCTCCTGGGGCCCTTCTTCCCCTGGCTCCAAGCTGTACTGGTTTCTCCTCTGCTTTTCTTTTTAAAAATATGACAATCTTTGTTTTAACACCTATCTCAAAGCATCATGGTTACTTGCCAATGCATCCGTTTTACTGACTCCTCTTTTCCCCCTCCACCCCAGGAGGGACCATATGTCTTGGTATTTCTATTTCTCCAAAGTTTATCATGGCGCTCAAGAAACATTCCAATGGTTAGGGGCAGAGATGTTGCTCATGTTCTGTTGACCTTGAGTGTTAGCTATAGTTATAAGAAACGTTAATTATGTTCTGTTAACTGTGATTGTTCTGTTCTAATTAGAAAAAGCATTTTCTACCCTGGCTGGGAGTTGTAGACCTGGGATATGGGAATTACCCTTGGAATGCGGTACATTCTCCTTTTCCAAGAACTGCCTATCATCAAGGTAAGATTAACAGCCTTGTTCTCCAAACAATGGAATCCAGGAGGCACCCGTCCTTTGCGACCCCCAGCCCACATTGCTTGTAACCTGTTAGCATTATACCTTGCCTACTTCCCCACGCCTGTAATTCCTACTTTCCCACCTGATCTTTGTCCTTCTACCCATTATAAGCAGCTGACTTATGGGGGGCGAGGGGCAGCAGAGCAGATTTTCATGGGTGACCCTTACTGCTCTCCCTTATTGGCTGCAATATTGGAATAAACCTCATATGATTCAACCCTGTCTCTGCTTAGTTGGCTCAAATGGTGACAGGCTGCCCAGACCTATTTTTGTCCGGTTTCAGAAGGAATGACTGAACGAATGGAATTTGTATGCATAAATGAAGTTTAAGGAGAATGATATTCCAAGGTGCCCTCGGGCTTTTTTTCTTTCTTTCCTTTTTATTGAATTTATTGGGGTGACACTGGTTAACAAAATCATACAGCTTTCAGGCGCACAATGGCCTCAGGCTTTCCGCAGCCCCACGCCAGCTTGGAGCGGGATTCTCCGGGAGAGAAGCAGCACCGAAGCCCCTCCAGCACCCAAGCGATAGCCTCCGGAGCAGGGACGGCTGAACTCAGTAAAGGGGAAGGCGGCGGCCGCTAGGCTTTCAGGCGTCGCCATGAGGACTACAACTCCCAGAAGGCGGTGCGAAGGCGAGGGCGAGCCACGGAGCGTCCCGCACGCTGACGTCAGACCTTTACGGAACTGGGAAGCGCGCGGCCGAGGTACGTGTGGGTCGCGGCCTGAATGGAGAGGGCGAGGAGGGTGAGAGCGGGGGGCAGAGCGGCCTGAGGGCAGGTGAGACGCAGGGGCCTGGTGAGGGAGAAGGACAGATGGGTCTCAGATGACGCGGGGGTCGCGACGCGGAAAGATCTCGAGCTCTGCTTGCTCTTCCCGCAGTGACCATGACGAAATTAGCACAGTGGCTTTGGGCATTGGCGCTCCTGGGCTCCGCCTGGGCGGCCCTGACCACGGGGGCCCTGGGCCTGGATTTGCCTTCGTCCTGCCGGGAGGTCCTCTGGCCACTACCCGCATACTTGCTGGTATCTGCTGGCTGCTTTGCCCTGGGCACTGTGGGCTATCGCGTGGCCACTTTTCATGACTGCGAGGACGCCGCCCTCGAGCTGCAGAGCCAGATCCGGGAGGCCAGAGCCGACTTGTCCCGCAGGGGGATGCGCTTCTGACACCTGAACCCCATTTGCGATTGGA